GCCCACTTGTGGCCTAATTGCCAGGTTGGGGCCGCCCCAATCTACTACTACCAACTGTGAAATATTTCTAGTTAGGAAAAACTAAGTTTCAACAACCTCTTCACTGACCCCTGTTGATACAGACACAAGAGTTATTTAATTATTTTTTTTTGCTTTTCAGTGTTATTCATATGTCGTTTATCCCTCTTGTGAGTCAAAGACATCCCTAAAAGCCGTAAAGAACAGTTGACAACTCTCAATTAAGTCTGACCCCAAGAAATAATAATAAAGGCTTTCTTTTTCTGTTATATCTATTATGATGACTAATAATAAAACACAAATGGAACTCAAAATTCACAAATGATTAACAATATTTTTTCAACAATTTAATTTAGTTTTGCCCAGCTACAAGTATCACATCAAAAAAGTAGATAATTTTTCACGATTACAATATAAGTCAAGTCAAAAACTGTAAATTCTTTTGAAAGTAGTTTTTGGAACATAACTGTTATGAATGATGTGTTGAGAAAATTATATTCATATTTGTTAATTAGGTAGATAATACCTAAAATACTATAAAAAACTTTATTAAAATAGTTCTTTCATTACTATTCACATATACTATACACAATATAAATAAATAAATTTGTTCTATTTCACACACAAAGTTTTAGTAAAATGGTTAGTGTAATATAGAGCAGCGGCATTCAAACTGTGTTCCGCGGAATCCTGGGAATCCCCACAACCTCACTGGGGGTTCCGAGACTCAACACTGTCAATAATTAAAAATTTTGAAATTAACAATACCGGTCCTACAAAATTAAAAAAAAATATATGCTCTTAAAAGTATTATTTATAAATATATAATCAGAAAAAAATGTGTTCGAAAATTTTTTTAGGTGTATAGGGGTTCCCCAAAAAATCGAAATGTTGGCCGGGTTCCATAAGTCGTAAAAGTTTGAAGACCGCTGATATAGAAGATTTTACAAACCCACGGTGATTTGGTAAAAAGGCCAAAACACCAATTATATATATTATATTGTTATAGCAAATGAGGAATTCTGAAATATGGAACTATATTAATAAAAAATGTTTTTGTATACATGCAAATTTAGCCATCATGCACTTTGTTAATAACAAATTGGCCCCAAAACCAAAACATTAGAGATTTACATTTCAGAAATACATATTTATTGCTTTATTGTACTGTGCAGAAAATAGTTTTAGGTATAAGTGTAATAATTCTAAATATTATTAAAATTGACATATTCGCCCCTTTGCCATTTAACCGTTAAAATATTATTAATCAGTTCAATATTTAAAACTTTACAGAAATTGTTAATGAAAAACTCAAGTGGACAACATGTACAATTAGAAACACGGACAAAAGAATTACTACTATTTTACCATTATTTACTTTCTGCACCATATCTGCAATGTGTTAATTCTTTTGACTTTTTTCTGAAGTTGCAACACGCCATAGCAGAGGGCCTCTGCCGTTGGAGGACATCCTGGTACATAAATGTCTACAGGAATAATTCTCACAACCTCTAAAAAAAAATATGAAAATGAAATAAAAAAGTTTCTACAATATTTTTTTTAATTCTCCCCAACGACCATTCGCTGAAAATACAGGGTGTGGCTATTACCCTTGACTATAAGTGTATATAGTCAAAGCTATTACTGACCGTTAGGTGTATTTGAGGTGCGAATTTGAAGATTTTAGGGTGTTGTTATTTTCGCTCCTTTTTTGTAGGTGTTGTTAATGTTTTGGTGCCCTTTACTTAATTTTTGGCGTTAAATGAGGCCTCGATAATTTGGGACCGAGGGGGACTATCCCTCTTTGTCCTGCCTTATCTCTGTAGGTCTGGGCAGCCTTGTGAAGGAGGGCCCCGTCCATCGTCTACCCCGACCACAAGCATGGCCGGTGTAGGCGCTTTGCGCGACCTCCGCTCTTGCCTTGGCTGACCCCCCAGCAGGGGAGCCTTTTCTGGCGCTCTTCGAGTCTTGATTTTTCTTTCTTCACCGGCTTGTCTAGCCTCCCGTGGGGTAGTCGTCCTGAGGAGTGGGTTTTTGGGAATAACTTGTAGCTAGGGAATGCACGCGGCCTTTGAGTCAGTGACTCGCGGACCGGTGCGGGGATAGGGTACGTCAGGGTCACTGCGCAGTTTTTCTGCAGCCAAAGGGGGAACGGTTTTTTTGTAATTTGTCTCTTCATTGGTTCTTCTTTCGCCCTTTCCCGCATGCTGGGGCTTTGCGGGAAAATTTTGGAAGATGTGGTGAATTTGTTATTGTTATTTTTCCGTGCGATCAGAGAGGTAAAGCGCCGTGTTGCATGCGAGTCAACCAACGCATTGTCTGGTGCAGCCGAGACATGTTATGTGTTGGCGGCGAACAGGGCTTCGTCGTGGTTTGGCGGAAGAATTTTTGTAAGAGTGTTCCTACGTTGTGTGTAAGTAGGTAGGTCGCATATAAGGATATTTATATAAATATTCTTGGGTCGCATGCATTGCTTGATACATGTCTGGAACAGCTCGGAGGCAATTGCGATGATGTTTGCGTGGTTTGGCGGGAGAATTTTGGGAACATCGGTGAAAATGTGGTTTCTTGCTCTACGCCCCCAACTCTGCCGCGCAATAGCTCGTCTACGATGATTTATTTTGGCGAGAAGTGTACCTTCCGTGGATCTTCTCGACAGATAAATGAAAAATGTGGAAATTTGGGTGAAAACTGAGTTTGGCTTAGGATTCCTCTTATTTGGCGGGAACAGCGCCTTTTAGGGATCCTTTTGAAGGATTGGTGGGGTTTTTCGACACATGGGTGAAATTCACTCGTCCTACTACGAAAATACATATACATTATACGATATGAAATTATTTTTAGGAGATTCAGAGGGATTGCCTTATTTGTGGGTGTGTGTTTGATTGAAAAACAGGCCAGTATCTCCATAGATAAGAAGTATCTCTTTTGTAAATATGTAATGACATTTTGACATTATTGTTTTCTGAGTTTATCTTTTATTTTACCAGTTTAATATGTGCTTTACCAGTTTTTATTAAATTAGTTTTGTCTAAGCAGAAAATATAGCACATTGAAACGTGTGTGTGACAAGGTGTTACTGCAGATATAGATTTAATAATTTTTATAATGGAATCTGTGAGCTTAATAGGAACTGTACTATAAGATAAAATCACTTAATCTCGTGCTAAGTATAGACCTGTGGTATTCAACCTTTTTTTTTCACGGATCAGTTCAAAAAAAAGTTTATATTCAAGTACCCCCTTATCTAAGTCTTAGTATTGTCAGAGTTGGAGTAAATATACTTTAGTTTTAGTTAGAGTTATAGACAGGAGATATTAGACTGAAGTTTGACGATGTCTTTCTCGTTTATGCCTCCGAGAGTACTGAAAGGTAACCGAGAGACAAGTACAATAAACTAAATTTAAAAGGGACACCTGTGTGAAAATTCAATTTTCCTTTTCAAAAAAATAATATGTACAGCGACGTATTTCTCACTTATGCCATGTTCATAAATTGAAGAGAAGTATCGATTTTATCACAACATTTTTTTGGCATAAGTGTCGCAAGGGACCTAAAAATGGAAAACTTTGTAAGAAAATGTGAAAAACATCTTTATTTGTCTACCAATTTCTCATTAATGCCAATTAGAAATATGACATTATATTCGAAAAGCTCATAAAAAACATTGGCATAAGTCCTACTAAGGACTAAAGAAAATAGGGCTTTGGAAAAGCTGTGGAAAATTAATTATCAAATTTTCACATAGGTGTTCCGGCAGGCACATCGGTTTTTTCCATAATCTTACTTGTCTCTAATGTATCTTTCAGTACCCTAAAAAGCATAAATGAGAAAGACGTCGTTGAACTTCTACGAGTATCTCCCGGTCTATTAGTAGAGGGCCAGAGATCATGGTTAGACGTTAAGTAGTAGGTAAATATTATTCTTTTTTTAATTATTTACTTTAGTGCCCAAGTGAATACATTACCTTTAGTATGTACAATATTTATATTAGAATTTAGACATAGATTAGTTAATTATAAATGAAAATTTGAGCTTATTTATTAGCACAGATTTTTAATACGTGGCTGGAGATTAAAGTAAGTGTGAGAAGTTATGTGAACAAATACAAAATTATATAATATTGTACCTGAGATAGTGGAATTATTTAATTATTAATTTAATTTTTCTCGAATTTTAGGTCATATAAATTATTAGACCATTTTTTGTTTACCTTATCTTTCAGAATCTATAATAAAAGGAACTTATATGAAGGCAAAATTAGAATTATCCCTGCACAAGGAAAGTTTATTAGTATTACTATAAAATAAATAAATGTGTAATATAATAAATATTTAAATATCTGTTTAGTAAATTTTAAAAATGGAAAAACATGAATATATTGCAAACTATCAAAACAAATATATTATATTGTTTGCAAGTTACAGCTTGTCAAAATTAATTTATTTTATTTTTCTATTTAAATAACTTATTTAATTCATGTTCGATTAGTCTCTTATTTGGCACACCCATTAAAGTAGATTGGACCGGTCAGAGAAAAGTTTCATTATGCGCCGCTAGAGGGCACTTTACATAGAACTCAATATTTGTTTGGTTCATAACTTTTTTCTCTTGCTAGACATCATGAAATTTAAACATTATTGAAAAGAGAAATAAAATCATAAAAAAATATGTACTCTTTGTTCAAGCTGAATTTTTTCTATTATTTTTCTTTTCAATAATGTTTAAATTTCTGTGATGTCTAGCAAGAGAAAACAGTTATGAGCAAAACAAATTTGAGTTCTAGGTAAAGTGCTCCCTCTAGCGGGGCATAATGAAACTTTTCTCTGACTGGTCCAATAGAGCTTCATCTACTTAATGGGTGTGCCAAATGAGAGACTAATCGAACATGAAATAAATTTAAATAGAAAAATAAAAAAAAATTGAATTCTGACAAGCTGTAACTTTCAAACAATTAATTCGAAAAAAAATTTTTAATACATATTGCTATTATTTTAATCCATATAATCACCTCCCGGAGTTTCAGAACACACTGTATATCACTGTAATTAACAAAAGGAAAGGATTCCAAATATCAACAATATACAGGGCGTTCCATTAAAAATAAAACAAAAGTTTGATTTATAACGTCGAAGTGCAATAGCCAATTGTTTTTTTTTATATATTCATATTTATTTGAAATGAGATACAATTTCATAAGACTTTAGTCTTTTCCATTTTTTTTTATGTGACACTGTACATAAAGCTGTTGCAAAATGGTTTAAGAAATAGAAAAAATAAATATAAACAAAATTTTCCTTTATTTTCCATTGATTTTGCAACAACATTGTTTGACTTAAAACTTTACATTTTACACCTATTTTTAACAATTATAACACTGTTAGGCAAAAACTCGAGGGATCAGTATGTACAATCGGGAACTTTAGAGAAATAAATGACTATTGATTTGCTATTATTTACTTTCTATACCACATTTGCAACGTGTTGAGCCTCTTTACTTTTTTCTGAAGTTGCAATACTCCATACAAGAGGGCCTCTGCCGTTGGAGGACATCCTGGTACATAAATGTCTACAGGAATAATTCTATCACAACCTCTAAAAAAAAATGTGAAAATAGAATAAAACAATTTTTTTTACTTCTCCCCAACAACCATTAGCTGAAAATCGAATTTAACATTTTTTAACGTTCATTTTAACTGTTCGGTGAATAAATTGTGTTTTTTTATTAATTTTAATTAACATAATTAGAAATTTCATCACTTCATCCCAGAAAAAGAAATAGGTATCACAAATTGTTCCAATTTAATTTACTGTAATGATTAGATATAATAAGCTTTTTTGCTGTCCGATTTTCAATTGGAGAAGTTTGTCACATTAATTCAAAACTTTACTTACCTTACAACTGAGTATGAATAATGGTAATATCCACCTCCATTTGCACAACTGCCCATGGAGATAACCCAACGTGGCTCAGGCATTTGGTCATATACCTTTCTTAACGCTGGGGCCATCTTATTTGTGAGAGTGCCAGCTACTATAATCACATCGGCTTGACGTGGAGAGGCACGGAAAACAACACCATATCTGGTAAAATCAAATACTTTAAAATATAATAATTATTGTAGAAGGTAGAAATACCTGTCCATATCATATCTTGGTGCAGCAATGTGCATCATTTCAACAGCACAACATGCCAACCCAAAAGTAAGGGGCCACATGGAGCCTTTTCTACCCCAATTCAGTAGGTCATCTAAACGTGCCAGAGCATATTCAGCCAAGTTGCTCCTTGAAACTTGATGTGGTGAATACGGTCTGTCAGCTGGTACCGGTTGAGTTGATTGATCTCTCTTTTGTAGTTGTACATTACCAAAACTGCCACCAGAAAGATTCCTTAATACATTAGCTGTGGTTAGTGCTTCCTTGCACGGTAATAAAGCACTTCGTAACATCTAAAAAAAGAATTGTTTTTCTAGGTTATGGCCTGCGCTGCACTAATGGATTTTCATATTACATATTAACACTTTCCGATATATGTTATATAGCGAAGTATTAAATATATTAGTTTTAGTTACCTTATTTGTTATAAAAAAAATTATGTTTAAAAACGATATGACAGTTTTACGTAATAATACATTCTCCACCACCACACATTTGACAGCAAACTAACCATCTCACATCCACATTCCACATCTACAATTTACAATTTACCTTTCTTCTCTACTCACAAATTAACCTACTCTCATATGAATAACTAAATAAGAGGTTTTTATTCAGTGTATTCTGTCGACAGCAGGGGCAGAGTACCGCCATCTGTAGCTGGTGCAGCAAACGAAACACTCGGAAACCACAGACCATATAATAATTAAGGAAACTGCATTGGAAAACACAATTAGAGTAACCATTAATTCTACTATCTAATAGATGTCGCTGCACCATAATTGCGGTAAATTTAAATGTAACAAAATACACAAGGAATAAAAAGTGTTTCATATAAGTAATAGATCAGAAATCATCTATTAATAGTTTAAGTTAATCATTGAAATTAACGCGAACCATTAACAGCTGTTGTGAGAAAGTTAAAGCAGTGATACTTAAATGTGTGACAAATATGCAAATTCATTTTGTTATGAATTCCAAAATATTTAAGTATCAAAAAAATGTACAGGGAGACTTGTAATAATTATTTTTTAAAGAAACCATTAAAACTGCAGATTTTATAGAATTTGAAAGAATTATTTACCTGCCGTTATGTAAAATGCATTGCACAGTGACTTGACAAAAATTATTGTTAGACACATTTGTTTCTAATTGGTTTTCATCAGTACCATGTAATATACTACACTTATAGCACTTATAGCAAATAATAATTTTAAACATGCATTTCGGTTTTTTAAAAGGTGTAGGTGAAAAATCATCCTAAATTGAAGTTCGGCAACTCGTACTATGAAAATTCTGTAATATTACGTTAACAAATTGTTTTGCTGAATGTTGGATACTATCCGAGGATTCCGAGGTGGATATTATTACAATTAATAGGTGAACTTGTAGTTGATCCTAAAAATAATGTTGGCACAGCACTTTCTATTACTGTTTTTTAAACATTTTTTACTCAAAATGGTCTTCATAAAAATAATGACGAGTTTGTCGGAGTAAATCCTGATTTACATAATTTTCGAACTGATTCTATATCCACAGTAATTGTCTTTTGTAATTCTGAAAAGTTTTATTTCTATATAACGTATTACAGATATTCATATAGTAAGAAATGCTTTTCCAATTATGGAGCAAAATATTGACGTTTAGTTCTACCAGGTACTCATTTATTATATTAATCTAAAACAAAACAAATTTATTAATGCATAAAACTCGGCAACCTACCTGAAGTCCTGAAGAGAAACTATAACCTCAAACATCAAACATTCTACGTTGATTGAAATATTTCAGTCAACGCATTCTATTGCTGTTAATTGAGATTGGAAATACAGATTCGATCTGTGGTTGCAGATTTATGTTTAACAATTTCTATAAAGGACAATGTTTTGCTGCACCGACGTGAGATGGCCTCAGTGAATGCATGCTCCGTCCGCCCTATGCAATAATAAAAGACTTATTTATTTACTCATGACTATTCTCAGTACCCTAGATTGTATACTAATAAAAATATTAGGTGCACTTTCTATTTAATATTGCGTCATCTCTTAGTGTATGATAGAACTAACTTGATTTAAGTGATAAACCTGACATTTTAACATAAAGTTGATACCGGTATGAGTATTTAAATTTTAAGGTGCGCTTAACTTTTAATTTAATTTTTGTTGATATTTTAAACATTGTTGTGATGTTTAGGAAAATTCACAAAAAAGCGTAACAGAAAGTTTCTTAAAACTACAAAGTAATACCTATTTAAAATATTTGTATGTACATACAGAATGTACATACATACTTACATACTTCTGACATTATACCTATTTATAAATTGGTGTTCAATCATTTGTTTTATAAGCTAATATCATGCTTCCATTTTGCTCATTTGAGAGTGAATTACGTTGTATTATAATTTCTTAGGTATTATTCAGTGGCGGCAAGGAGGGCGGAAAAAATCAAATATGGGTAGTTTTATTTTAGGTAGGTACTATTGAAATGCAGGGAAAATCTTCGAGCATATACTACTGAGATAGCGTGCTAGAGTGAGATAGTATGTACTGAGATACTGTCCGTCTCTCTCGCATACTCATCAGCCACTTCGCAATGGCATGCTACCTCCAGTAGTAGCATATTATCTAGGAGTAGTAGGTATATATGCTCGAAGGGAAAAGTGTATTCAATATTATTTTTTATTAGAGATGGGCAATGGGAAATTTTCCGTCCCGGAAAGTTTCCAAAACGGAAATTTTCCGGGAAGAAATAATCGAAGCTTGAGAAATTTTCCCTGGAAAGTTTCTGAAAAAATTTCCGTCGGAAAATTTCCGGGAATATTTCTAACAATTTGTAAACTTGGAGCCAATTCTACTTCTAACTTCTATGAACATACACAAAAAATCGTTGGTTNTTTAATAGTCTAAAGTTTCAATACACAGAACAAATAAGAGTTTAATAGTAACACACACATACAATTAATAGTTTTACACACACTGAATCAGAAAGGGTTTAATGATAATAACACATAAAAAATCGCTCGCCGACTCTGAACACAGTGAATATCAAATGGTAAGACTGACTACGCCACTGCCGTTTCTGACAAGTTCTAGCCTCAAATGGCGGCCTGCGCGAGGGAATGCGCATATCGTTCCCGCCAGCTACAGCTAGACTGCTGATTGTTTTATTTGCTGTGGTTTTATTCTGTGTATTCTGTCGACAGCAGGGGCAGAGTACCGCCATCTGTAGCTGGTGTAGCAAACGACACACTCGGAAACTACAGACCATAAAATAATTAAGGATACTGCATTGGAAACTTAAACCTAGTAAACTATGGACTGGCCCTAAAAAGAGAGGTCAATCGCGCTGATGTGTGCAAGGCAGATGAAGCTAGTTGAGACAAATACCGATAAAACAAATAATGGTAGACGGGACACGGGTATACCGGTACAAAATGCCGTAAACAAACTTTGAAGTAAATGTCATGTATTAACATTATTGATTGATTTCATGAATTTTTGTGTGATTTTATTAGTGTATATGAAAGATTCGTAAAAACTAAATATGGTGCAATCGTGTTCTGCGATAAATTGCGTAAAGAGACGTTTAAGTGGAGAAAAAATTAAATTTCATAGGTAGGAAAGAAGTTATGACGGTACCAACATGTTTATACTTTTTGCAACTTTCTGAAAAGACTGACCAACTAGAGTTGTCTCTGATGACAACATATTAGATTAAATTATTTCCCCCATCCTCAAAATAAAATGTCATTTTAACATCACACCGAATATAAAGGAAACATTTTAACTGAAATGTGCTTAGAATGTGCTCCAGCAAAAATTCTCTCCAAATAATATGTTGAACGAAGAAAGCATCGACATAGTTTCAATTTATGCAGTTCTGCAAAGCAAGAAAATATGAAATATTTGAAACAACTACGTCAGAAGAGCTTGCAGTAATTTTAACCGATCGAGTTTACGATATGAGGAAAATAAATGGAGAAATACATAAATAAGGCATTATAAAAACTATTTGGAATATTATA